TCAGAAAGGTCGGCAGTTCGGCGGTTCGAATCCCTAGCACCGTGTAACGGAGTGAGCACCCGTGACTTGTCCCAGCTTCTGCCAACCTAGCAGTTCGAAAGCACGTAAAAATGCAAGTAGAAAAATAGGAACCACCTTTGGTGGGAAGGGAAAAGCGTTCCGTGCGCCTTTGGCGTTGAGTCATGCTGGGCCACATGACCACAGAGATGTCTTCGCAGACAGCGCTGGCTCTTTGGCTTTGAAACGGAGATGAGCACTGCCCCCTAGACCCGGAAACGACTAGCACACATTTGCGGGGGAACTTTTACCTAAACTTATATTTCTATAACTTCCATCTTCCAGATCCCATACTGTACCTTGGCCACTGCGCTTTTGGTTCTCTCCCATTCTTTGCAATTCTTGTAATCCTTTTTCCACTGCGCACAAGATGGCATCCCCCCGTAAGTGTAATAATGATGACATAGATTACGGATGCTCCGGCACAGCTTCCATTCAGACCAGTAATCTGTGCAGGCTCGGGGCGGCTGTGAGACACAAAACACAAAACAAACTCTTATAAAGCGGGAGATGAGATCATGGACAGCATAGCCCTCACCTTTATAATGGGTGGGGAAAGAGAGTCAAGAAGGGACCCTCCCTAGTTTCTTGGGATGTAAAGGAGAAGGATGTAATGCCATGTGGGAAAACCCTTGGGAGACGGGGAAGAGATGCCTCCAAGGAATGGTCAGATAAGAAGCGGCTGAGCCCACAGCTGAATAATGGGTGGAGAAAGATGCTCAGAAGGGACCCTCCCTAGTTTCTAAGGATGTAAAGGAGAGGGCTGTAATGGTGCATGGGAAAAACCTTGGGAGATGGGGAGATGAGATGCTGCCTAGGGAATCTTTAGATAATGGACAGCATAGCCCTCAGCTTCCTAATGGGCGGGAGAAAGAGGCTCAAGAAGGGACCCTCCCTAGTTTCTTGGGCTGTAAGGGAGGCAGCTATAATGGTACATGGGAAAGACGTTGGGTGTTGAGGCAGAAAAGGAGAGAAGAGAGGCTTCCTAGGAGGCAGTCCGATAAGAGACAGCATAGCCCACAACTGCATAACGGGTGGAGAAAGATACTCAGAAGGGACCCTCCCTAGTTTCTAAGGATGAAAAGGAAGGCAGCTATATAGGGTCTCCTGCTTGGGCAGGAGGCTGGACTAAAGACCTCCAAGGTCCCTTCCAGCTCTCCTCTCCTCTCGCTGGGTGGCATGTATATTTATTCTGAAACACAGAATGTAAAATATAATATTTCATCATTATTCTGCATAATAATGCTTACTCTCAAAAAAGCCATCTCTGGGCTTTGGAGTTCCTTAGGACCAAGGGTTGGAAAGACTACTCAACCCTAGAGAAAGTCAACATCAGGCTGCTTTCACATGACCTGCAAACATCCGTGTCCTGAATTCACACAACCCGCGAGCTCCAAACACACAGACACAAACACACATACACACACCAGAAAGGCTTTTCCTTCCTGCTGGCTCAAGGGATGACCCTCCCACTGGCTATTTTTTTTCAATTATTAGCCACGATTAGGGGCTAATTGTGACCCGGAGAAGCTCACCCGCCAAACTCCTCCTTCAGCGGCCATTGCGTGGTCTCCCCTCCTTTGGAAGAACGACCGGGGAGGGGCGGAGCTTCTGGCCGATCGTCTCCGCCCACCTTTGTCCCAATGGGCGGGGCAAAGCGCCGTGTGGAACTTTAACCAAGGACCCCTAAGGGCTACAGTCAATAGCGCGCAGCCATCTCTTCCGGTTCTGTTGTGTAATTGGAAAAGCAGGTAGGCGGGTCGAGACTGAGGGGGGGGGGGAACTTAAGAGCTACAATTCGTAGCGAACATACATCACGCCCGGTTCCCAGCTGTAAAGGAAAAGTTCCTCCATGTGCGGGTGATAGATAGATACGTGTGTGTGTGTGTGTGTGTGTGTGTGTGTGTGTAGAGAGAGAGAGAGAGAGAGAGAGGTGTGGAGGAATGGTGGATAGATTAGATAGGTAGGTGGGTAGATATGAATATATAGGTAGATCTGAAGATAGATATTAGATAGATAGATAGATAGATAGATAGATAGATAGATAGATAGATAGATAGATAGATAGATAG